GGGGGGGGGGGGGGGGGGGGGGGGGGGGGGGGGGCGGTGAGGGGAGTGAGTAACCCTGTCCCCTGCCGGCCTTTCCGGCAAACTTTTTTTTTTTTTCTTTTCTTTACGTGAGAAGATTGGCATCTTGTCTGACCTGCCTCCGCGATTCCACAGCGGGGCACCTGCTGACGTTCTCTGTTTCTGTCCACGGGAGCGTTGCCTCTGTTTCCCTCTGTTAAACCCAACCCCCCTTGCCTTTTCCCTTTGATGCTTTCAGAGCCCTCTCCTGCCAGAGCACCTGTTTTCCTGTGGAACTTTCTATAGCTTCGTTTTTGACACTTAAGCCTGTAATCCATCCGAAATTTACCCTTGTAGCGAGAGGGGGAGAAGATGATCTTTGCCAACAAGGAACAGACTTTTACTACCTGGGACTCGTTTAGTCCACTGACTACAGGTGGCATTTAATCAACTGCATGCCACCTTTTTACGTATCTGAGTCCCACTTGGGGGATATCAGTTGGGTCTCCTTCATTCGATCGGGATGGTTTTGTACCTTGTTACCCCCCGGTTGGCCCGGTCTGGACTGGGGGTTCTGCCCGGAAGGCCCCCGGCCCTGAGCTGCACTCTCATGGGGAGGAGGGAGCGGCGTGCACAGGGCCCCCCTCCCCCCCCACCCCAGCAGGGAGGCCCCGGGACGCCCCCTGCGGCAGGACGGGGCTGCCCCTGGGCCCTCGCTCCCCGACCCGGGCACTCACTCCAGGAAGAGGGGCCGGGCCACGGTCTCGCCCCCCACGTGGGCCCGGTGGAACAGTGTGTACAGGAGGGGCAGCAGCCTGTAGCGCAGGGCGAGGGCCTTCCTCATGGCTCGCTGCGCCGTCTCGCTGAACCTGTACGGCTCCTGAGGCTGCAGAGGGGCCGCGGGAGCACCGCGAGGTCACGGCCGCCCTCCCCGCTGCGGCGGGAGACCGGCTCCGCTCTCACTGCCGGTGCGGCCGCCTCCACAGCGGGACCCCGGGGGCAGACCCCCACCCACCCGGCCCGCGCCCCTACCAGG